CACACACACACACACACACACACACACACTGAGGTGTCATGCAAATTGCAAAGGTCAGAGCTGTGACCCACCTCAACGCTTACAAACAAAGAGGGTGGGGCAAACAAAGGTGTGGCTTCCCTGCAGGTAAAGAAAGGCACATTGCCATGGTTACTGAGGGGGGCGGGGCATCCAGCAGCACCTCAGCGTGTCTCACACACACACTCAGGAACCTTTGGAAGAACATGTCCTCTGCTGCTTTCTGACACAGGTCAGAGTCACACCTCGTTGAAACTCGACCCTGTCATGAATCTTTCAGCGGAGTAACGACCTCAACGTTTTCCTGCTTCACACGTGAAGGATGAAGACAGGGAAGTGGCTGTACAATGGAAGAAAGGTACGTGTGTGTGTGTGTGTGTGTGTGTGTTGATTTCCTGTATACCTGATGCATGTATCTTTGATGAAGCTGAGAGGAGGAAGCAGGACAATGTCAAAGAGTTGAAAAGATTCAGAGCTGGAACCTGTTTCATCAGATTCTGTATTCACAGTTTTTAAAGCAAATTAAATGACGTAACCGATCCTCTTCCTCCTCACGTCTCTCTCTCCTCTCAGTGAGGGACTGTTGGATGCTGGGCGGCCGGCGGACAGCAGGAGGAAGTGTGGCTGCTCACGCCGTCTCTGCTTCTGCTTCATTCTAGTGTTTGCTGCCATTTTTCTGTTCTTTTACAACACGAACTTAACGGAGATGACAACTGACTGGAACCCTTTTAAAAGTCTGGGTCAGAGCAAGAACTCTCCCAACACGACAGATTTCAGCAGCTTCACTAGTTCTCCTGGACCTGAGAGCAGCTCATCAGTGACCGATCAGGCGACACAGAACAACTCTGTTCCTCCACTGGTTCCTTACGTGTCTCCTGGACCATATCTAGTGGAATATCCTCATCAGTACCACTTCAATATCAATGAGCCTCAGAAGTGTTCGGAGCAGCAGCCTTTCCTGGTTCTGATGGTTCCCGTGGCGCCCGACAACCGGGCCCACCGCGACATCATCCGCAACACGTGGGGAGGTGACAGCAGCGTCCTGGGTAAAGTGGTGAAGCTGTTCTTCCTGCTGGGGCAGAAGACTGGAGAGGGAGCGGAGCAGCTCCARGAGCAGCTGCTGCAGGAGAGCACAGAGCACCGGGACCTGATCCAGAGCGACTTCGTGGACTGCTACAAGAACCTGACCATCAAGACCATGGTGATGCTGGAGTGGCTGGACTCCTACTGCTCCAACGCCTCTTACGCCATGAAGATCGACTCGGACATGTTCTTAAATGTGCCCAATCTCATAAATATGTTGTTGAGCGCTCCGAAGACAAACTACATGACTGGACTGGTGGCGAGAGGAGGTGCCGTTCTGAGGGATCCCAGCTCTAAATGGTACGTCCCTGAGGATCTCTACCCCGACTCACAGTACCCACGATACGCTTTGGGTCTGGGCTACGTTTTGTCCTCAGATCTCCCGAAGAAGTTGGTGGAAGCAGCCAAACACGTGCGAGCTCTGTACATCGAAGACGTTTATCTGGGGCTGTGTATGCAGCACCTGGGCATCCCCCCCACTGACCCCCCAGACTGGGGTTACTTCCATGTGTTTCCTGTGTCGTACAGTCGCTGCGCTTTCTCCAAACTCGTCGCCACCACCACTCATGAAGGAGCTGATCGTACGTGGATGTGGACGGACTTTAAAAAACCAGGCCTGTACTGCTGAGGTGTAAAAGAGAAACAGGATTCATTCAATTCAATTTATTTGTATAGCGTCAAATCATTATATACATTATCTCAAGGCTCGTTACATAGAAGGTTTTTGTGGTTTAGGTTTTAAACGTTGATTACATATTTTAGAGATCTGCTCTCCTCTCAGGTTCACGTTGAACAGAACAAACATCATCATGGTTCAGTGGCTGAAGACAGTTTTTAAATCTAGTATTTCTACAGTTGAGAGAACACAGACCGGGTGAATGTGTGCATAGATATAAATAGAAGACTGTAGATGTTTAACAAGGTCTTCCTCAAAGTGAATGAAAATGTGGCACTTGATAGTTTCTCTTCCAGAGTCTGATCGATCAGGGTTTTCTTCTCGCTCAGGAGATAAATTCTGTCACAACACGTCCACGAACGGCCGAGACATTCTGTCTGTCCTCCGGTCACCGCTCCACCTCCAGGGTTGACGTGTGTGACTGTACGTCGTGTTTGCTGATGGGTGGAGTTACAGTGAAGGGGTTGGTCTGACGTTTTAAATTTCCATCATCCATAAAACAAGTTGTTTGATTTGGACAAACACATCAAACCTCAGGGAAACTTCTACACTGTGCTTCTCTTCAAACCATGTTCACCAAGCAGGAGCCTGGAGAAGCTCTGTGATGTCCCCTCCTCTGTGACGTCACCTCCTCTGTGACGTCACCTCATCTGTGACGTCCCCTCCTCTGTGACGTCCCCTCCTCTGTGACGTC